CTAAATGGAAATATTTACTTCTACTGAAACTATAGTGACCACTCTTTATATATATGGATAGTTTAGTAACATGAAATTATTTCTCTAATTTCTTAAGATTGTCTTTTTTTATGATTTTAAAGTTTAATAAAAAAACATTTTAACTGTATTTGAGAAAAAAAAGGTCAAAAGCATGATCAATGTACAAAAAAAAATAAAAAGTACATATTGTAAAGATATATATTGTGACGTGGTTGTAAGAAAACTATTTTAATTTTGAGAATATTGAATTTGTTCAGGTTAGAAATAAAACTGGTTTTAGACCTCACCCCATGTCTGTTCCTATCTCTCTCTAATATAATCTCTCCTTTTCCCCCCTCCAACACAGTTTCCCCATCTTCCTGGATTTATTCCCCCCCCCCATCCATGTTGAGAATTGTCAAATCCCCTCATATTCCTCTTCAACTAGATTTTAAACAATAAGGAGATAATCCTGGAACAGACGAGAATTAGAAATTCAGAATTATTCTGCAATATAACTTAAATATTTATAAAAATCATTCTGCAATATAACTTAAATATTTATAAAAATCATTCTGCAATATAACTTAAATATTTATAAAAATCATTCTGCAATATAACATGAATATTCAGACAATCGTTTTGCAATGTAACTAGAAAATACAGGAAATCTTTCTACAATATAATTTAAAAACTGACAAAATCATTCTCTAATATAACTTTAGAATTCAGAAAATCAATCTGCAATATAGCTTAAAAAATTTGGATCAGACAATCTTATATAAAATAACATGAAAATTCAGAAAATCATTCTGCAATATAACATAAAAATTCAGAAAATCATTCTGCAATACATTATAAAAATTCAGAAAATCATTCTACAATATATCTTAAGAATTCAGATAATCATTTTGCAATATTATAGATGACGTGAGGTCGATCTCTAATGAAAGGCATAAAGTATCTTCCAGTATATACATTTCTTATAACTTTTTCTAGAGGGTTCAGAAAAATGTGTTAATATCAAGATTACACGCGTTAGACTGAAAGTACAATGCTTCGAATCTCGTTCCGGTGAATCTTGCGGAACTTGTTTTAGGCGGCCATGCATCGTCTTCCACNCTGGAGGCTAAAGGTGGAGGCTAGTGATGAAAAACTCTTTTAATGTTCATTCACTTTGGTTTATTATCACTGGTTTGAGCTTAAATGTCACTTTCTTCCTCTTTGGCGGAGCAACGGTGGAGGATTCTGCAACAACTCTCTGAGGCCGTCCTCTAGTCTAGGGGGATCTGGAGGAACCAGAGGAGGCTGGCGTAGAGGTCTGCCCCTGCGTGGAGGTGCTACTGGAGCTTCATCATCTGCTGTGAAAGCTGGTTTGAGGTGTTGAACTGAAACCACTTCTACTCTCTTGCCAACTTGTAGCTGAAAGGTTTTCAGGGAGTGAGATAAAACCTTGTAAGGACCAACGTGTCCATCCTTACGTAAAAAAACCATTGGGCAAGATGAAAGTTCTGCAGGAATAACTTCTGGGAGAACAGCAGCTGACAGAGTATTATGACAAGGTGGAACAGGTTGAAAACCAGACATCAAATTTTTAAGGTTTTCATAGAACAGTTTGGTTGGGGGTTCTTGTACCTCCGCACAGCAGGCAGGATTTGCACCAGTCGCGGACGTCATTGGCTAAGCCCCTCCAGGCAAACCTTGTAGAAATAAGACTTCTGGACACACAAACATTCCATGTAAGGCGGAGAAAATGTTAAACCTTTGAGAAGTTGGAACCAAGGGGCTGAAAACCTTCGTCTTTGAGTCACAGAGAAGAGAACTATCCTGGACTGGAACAGAAGCCTTTATGCGCAGTACATCAGGGCAGGACAGCTGTTCTTTGGCTAACTCTGAAAAATTAATCACTGAAGAAGTTGGAAAAGGTGATGGAATTGTTAAAACTGACACCTCAGACACCTTAACCCCAGGGGAAGGAGGCAGCTGTGGAGCAGGAGGAGATGCTGTACGGGGGTGGCAGAGATTGTCAGCCACTACATTTTCAGCTCAAGGTGTATGGCGGAGATCACTGGTGAAATCTAAATTATAGGATAATTGGCGTTGCTGACAGGCGGACCATGGCGGAGAAACATGTGAGAGAGCTGATACCAGGGGAAGATGATCAGTCAGTACATGAAATTTTCGACCCTGTAACTAAAACCGGAAATGGCGGAGATCAAGAAACACTCCTAGGAGCTCTCTGTCAAAGGCGGAGTACCTCAGCTGAGTGGCGGAGAGCTTGGCAGAGAAGAAAGCTAGAGGACGCCAACCACCTGACTCTTTGTTTGACGTGTGTGTTGGAGGCATCTGTGACGAGTGATACTGCAAAAGTTAATCTATTTAATTTGACTATTTAATAAGGCCCTTTTAAACTGCTCTACTCTTATACCTTGTTGGACAAAGAAGTGTTTATTACTGAAGGGACCAATATCTAGTGTTTAGAGTAGTAGTAGTAATGGACCCTCATGGGAGCACATTTCCCCCCTGTTTTTCATTCCCTTCCTTATAACATCCTCATTACCCTCCCTCCCTACTCCCTTGTAATTACTATTTACAATATATAAACCTATTTCAATTATAGATTTATCTATCTATCAATCCCTTCCACTCTCCCTCCCTCCCCGTCACCTGTCATTCCGTCTACCAACCGCCACCCGCTGTATTTTAACTCCTCATCTATCTATCAATCTCTATTTCTTACAGTCACCCGCCATTTCGTCATCCATCCCCCGCTGGATTCGCCTAACAACCGCCACCCGCCATATTTAAAGTATGTTTGAATATATATATATTTAGTTTATTAGTACATCTCATAACATCAACATTATCATTATGTTATCCTTACCACAGCTTATTTGTTGTCAAAAATCGGAACTCGCACCTGTAACGTTTAGGGATTGGTTGAAAGATGTGAATCATGTATACATTGGACCTCATGCACCTTGATACAGCGGAAACCTCGAAGCTCAAGATGATTGGATTTATCCTATTGTTGAAGACCAGTTTAGAACAAATTCAATTGATAGAATTCAATATCTAAATATTTACAGTTCATGGCTGATAAATAATAAATACTCAGAATTGGATAATCTCTTTGGAAAGATTATAGGATGTTGGTGTCAAAGTCCACGAGTCTGCCATGGAAGCATCATCATCAAGCTCTGTAAAGAAAAAAGAGAACTGACTCGTCGAATGGTAGAATCTGATGAAAAGAAGGAGGAGGATATAGAGGAATTTCCCAAGATTAAACGATATGCAAAATTGACCAATGTTTAGTATCATCAATTGTGTATTAATAATATGTTTGATATAATAAAAATTAAATATTTACGTATTTGGTTAGTGGGAGTTAGAGAGAGTTAGAATGAAAGAGAGAAAGAAAATATTGATTTATAAACTTAAAAGTTTATCATTATGAATGAGAAATATGATAGTTTAAAGGTTACTTATTTAAATATATATGAAGAGATGATATTTTAACTCCTTATTTTATCTAAAGATTTAAAGATGACGATTTTTTGGTATAAATATAGAATATATAGATATATTTATCATTTTATCTAAAGACTTCAACATGAATGTGTCTAATATTAAGATCTCTATTCATTTTCAAGATGACTGTTTTCAAAAACTACACACTAATGAAAAAATTATCTTTAAAGATAAAAATGGAGTATTATCCACTATATTCACAGTCCTCGTATTGTAAACGTTACTGGGATAAAATCAGAAGAAGAAATATCACAAGTTTCTAGAACGAAAATATAATAATAAATGTATAAAACATCAAATAGATTCAATTATGATTACTCATAAAGATTATAAATCTATTCAAATGATTGATATTATTAATAATTTGAAATCAATAACAAATCTATATTATGCAGATTACAATCCAGAATTATTTACAGGAATATATTTAAAACCATATGATCGTACATAACCAACTGTTAATATGTTTTACACTGGATCATTCATTTCAATTACTAGGTGGAAAGAGCTTTGAAAAAATTCATATTACATTTAATATTATAAAAAAATTGATAGAAAAATGTGAAAATGTAAATTATTAATTATGTTAACTTGTAAATAATATGAATATTATATTGTAAATAGATATCTCAATTTACATCAGATTTTCTTCAAAACATGAAGAGAGAGATGAAGGGAGGGAAAGGGTAAATATAATGATTGGGAGAATATTGAGGCAAACCACAGAATGCCATTCCTATATTTCATTTCCTCTCCTCATTTCCATCTACTTACCCCAACGATTTCCCTCAGCTGTCTTCTATTCCCCCCCCCTCAGTATATCAATCCTTATCCCCTCCTCTTGTTATTTTGAAATAAAAATCTCGTTTTTGAAATAAATATCTCGTTTTTGAAATAAATATCTCAATTTTGAAATAAATATCTTGTTTTTTGAAATAAAAATCATGTTTTTGAAATAAATATCTCAATTTTGAAATAAATATCTTGTTTTGAAATATAAATCATGTTTTTGAAATAAATATCTCATTAGGAACTACATGTGTTATTTCACCAAATCATGGATGGATTCTATCAACAAAATGCAATCCAGCGTTCTCTCTCATCTTTCAAGAAGAAAATATAAAACCATCTCTCAATAAATTCAGAATATCAGTTACAGTTACAAATATCTCAGATGAAAATATAAATATACCAAGAGGACATTGTATTGGGTATTTATTAATGAGGTTATAAATGAGAATCTATGTTTAGTTATCAATATTTATTAAAAAGTATATTGCATAAATAGATAAATACAAGTTAAATAACGATTTTTTTTGGATTTTAGAATTTTGTAACATTTTTTTGTATTTTTTTATATATTTTACGAATAAATAAATACATATTAAATAACAATTTTTGGATTTTAGAATTTTATAACATTTTTTTTGTATTTTTCAGATATTTTTATGATAATACATGAATAATGTACAATATGCAGAGTATAATATGTTTACTTTACACTCTTCAATGATAATCTACAATTATGGAGAGTATCCAAAACTATGAGCAATGAATTCATCATTATTCTTAGTAATATGGATTTTATCATTAAAGGCTGATAATCCAGATTTAGTCTGTTTGACTGTATACAACGTATGACTGGAGTGTAATATTCTATGAATATCAAGTTTACTCACAACTGCAGGGGATTGTACAGTTTTCACATAGTTGATGTGCTTAAGATTTCGTTCTTTAGCACTTCGTGTTACACCCTTAGCAGTTGTCTTATTCAGACATGATTTGATGTTCAATATAGAATACATCTTGGACCTAAGAAAGACACCTTCGCTAAATGCGGATCCAGCTCCTTCATCTTTAAATTTTCCTGGAATTAGATGATTGACTGCAGAATACTGAGGATGTGATGGAGGATAATTGGAGAAGTCCATCCACAACCGTCCAACATCAAGTTCTTGAAGTTTACTGTAGATATTGGTTTCACATGGTAGTAGATACATAAAGGAATCTGTATCTGTAAAACCCAGCTTCATTCCTATAAATGTATATTATTATAAGAAAAAAAAACGTATTCATTTTATTGATATAATACTTTACAATATCTCATGTATATATTTGCAATCTGATTATATGTATATATTTCTTATATGTATATATTTGCAATCTGATTGTTTTGTAATCTGATTACGATGTAAAGCTTTTGATATTTCATAATTATACTTTTTATAATATTTACATACCTGGAAAGTTTGGAAGAATCCAATCATAATTGAATTCATACATCACAACTTTGCTGATTGATAAGATCACAGCACCCACATACCTTAAATGATTGATCAATTAGTCAAGCAATTTTATATATAAACACATTTATATATTCTTATTAATAAAATATATCTTACCGAGGTTTGTCCAAAGTAACTTTCTTTTTTCTGCATAAGACAGCGGCAGAAAATTCACCATATACTTTTACTCTTTCAAAGAAAACGGAATTTTGTTTACTCTGAATCTTCTTAACTTTATCTTCTCCACATATAATAGACACAGTTGAATACTTCCTCACATCCTCGCAGGTTTTGCCGTAGCATGAATTGTTCATCAATTTGGGCAATTCCTAAAAAATATTATAGAAAATATCATTAAAAGTTTTATACTAAAAATATCATTAGATTATTTTAAAGTTTTATACTAATGAATAATTAAAAAAGTTTACCTCATCAGCTTTACAGATAGCTTGTTGTCTTATTCTTGTATTAAGATCAATATAAGGTTTCATCCATGGAGACTGTCTGAATACTAATACTCGATGAACTGCAGTGAGAACTAATCCTAGTTTTAAACACTGTTGTAGATTAGTATAATGGAGTTTATATTTAAGTTTCTTTTTTAGAGTTAAACAAAGCTTGGTCTGTTTCCCTATTTTTATATTCAGATCAGCTGATAATTTGATCTGCTCTTCACTAAGATCAGATGACTTTATAGTGTAGTGCTCAGGCGCTAGAGGATATTGATCATGCTCTTCATGTAGATGCTTTGGATACTCAAGATCAACTTCTAAGTAGAAACCTGATGAACCATCTTCTTTTAAAGCTAAGATGTATTCCTTCATAAACTTTGACGGATCTTCAACCCATCTAAAATCACCAGTTGGTAGATATTTACTCATACTGTATCCATACTGGTTATTACAATCTACGTTGATCAACCATGTTTTTTCTTTAGTTTCATCATAATCTAGTACCATCTCGTTGTTGGCTTTCAAATATGGATTTCTTGCTATACTCACCCCTCCAATCATTGCACTATCTATGAAGAGGTTGATATCCGGATCAGTAATAATCTGTAATTTGACTTTGGACTTCTTCAAACATGCTTCCCAGCTTAGACTTGGTGCAGTCATAAAATAGACTGGATCGAGTCCATATACATATAGACACTGAGTACGAAAATTCTCAAAAATATCCGCTAAAAGAGTCCCATCCAGTTCCATATACAGAGTATGATAATCTAGAAGAGTGGAACAAGAAAATAAATCCCAAACCTCTTTTGCATGCTGATAATCACTAGCCGATATTTCCTTCATATTGAGATTATCATAAAAATCTTTCTCTTTCAGTAGTTCTTTCTCATTAAGAATCTCAAGATCAGTGATATAAACTCCTTTTCGAAGGAGTAGCTGAAAACAGTTTATTGATAACTCTGGATGTTTAACTCTGAAGTTATTATATGTATTCTTAAAATACTGATGATATACTTCAATTTTATCACTTTCCTTGATTAAAATATCAGTTTTATTTTTTAAATTATCTGTCAATTTACTGAGACTACTGCAGAGAAAATTAAAGCTGTCCAAAAAAATAAGCTTGAATATACAATCAGACATCTTCACTGAGAACGAGATGAATTTCACCAAGTTTTTGGCAATAACTTGAACATCATCAATATTTTCAATTTCAGCAATATCACGGAATATGATATGAGAATCATAACCTATCAGGTTAAGGAAGAAGATGGGAACAGTTTTGTCTCCTTTCAATTGCTGATTACAAACTGAATGAGCAGGACCTCTATATTTTCCTGTTACATGACAATGATCCCAAACCTAAAATAATAATAAAGTTAATTAAAATAATAATAGTATTGATTAAAATAATATTGAAATAGTTTTCGATATATTAAACATTAATTTTTATAAATATAACTTACTTTAGGACCCTTGAGCCAATTTGCATCATACATTGGAATTTCCATGGATTTTTCAAGCGTATAATCGTCTTCTTCTATCTTCATTTCATGTTTCAGCTTGATGAATTCTTTCAGTGATATTTTGCAGTTGATTTCCTCTTCACATATATGACATGTATCATCTTTATAATGAGATTCATATTCCTCGGATCCTTTCTCTATGAATATAGGTTTCTTGCACTCCACTTCATGTAGAAGTTCCATAGCATGTAGATATTCTTGTCCTGATGCAAAAAAGTGTTGAAGAGAATCATCTCCAGTGTAGCTGATAGGTTTTATGTTCATCCCTATTTCAGTTTTATCCAGGTTATAACGAAGAACAGGGGTTATAGTATAACCAGTCAAAACATGTTCCTGAATAAACTCCGTACTATGACTCTTCTTACTTGTCATCTTCATACATGTTTCAAAATCAGCATAGAGAGTCAATATTTTTTCTTGCTGTGCAACATGTTTTCTGAATTGGAGAGTTTGCTTATCAACTAGAGGATAAATTATCAATTTCTTACCGGAAATATACATAAACTGATGAATCATCCTCTCGAGTAAAAGCTACTTTGATTGCTAGTGTATATTTTAGAGCTCCGTGTTTTCTATAGTAAGATGTGATTTCTTCTCTTGTTACTTCTTTTATTTTCTTGAGAAATATAGGAAGATCAGGTTTGTGTAGATATTTCAATTTTACAATTCTAAAAAAATAATTTGATATATATTGTAACAATGGGTGATTTTGTTGATCTTTTACGATCAGCGATTCAAGGATCTTTTTAGATCGCTGAGATCATAGCTGGCTAGGGGCATAACCCCCCCCCCTTTATACCGTTCGGTTGGACTTTTGAATCCTATTTTGAATTCTAACGGATTTATTTGAGTTTGCATGTGAATTCTATAAATAACCCAAGCCAAGCTGAAAGTTCCGTTATTCCAGAAGCACGGGGGCTGGGGGGCTAGCAGGCCTGCTCCCGGGGAACTAGGGTTAAATGAGAGCCCAGGGTGGAGCAAAATGAAGGGAAAAGAATCAGTTGATCATCAGCTCCCTTAAACTGAGGTTCCCTTGAAGATTCCCCATCACTCTGAAACTGCTTCAATTCATAATATTTTATTAGTATAGTATCAATCGTTTTATTTTTGTATCTTTGTAAATATAAACTGTAAGAAAAACCGACTCGTTGAATATTAATAGAACAAGTGTTTGCATTGATTTATTTTTCTTTATACTAACATCATGTTTGTTTAATTGTATGTATCTATATGTAACATTAATTTGAAAATTAATTTAACATCTTGTTAAAATCCGCGCAACATCTGTGAAAAAATTCTCAAATCATTCATATTCATGAGTATAGCTCATATGCTATACTGCTCTGGTGAGTTTTAGTTTCATGTACTGTTCTAAAAACCTCAAAGATCATTTCTATTGAAAAGGTAATTTTCTTTACAATGTTGATTATTCCTACAGTAGGCAAAAAAACTTTAACATTAGTACCATCCCTATCCCCAATTACTACCGCATAGTAATTGGGGATAGGGATGAAAGAAAGGTATTGTCAGTCCGAAATAAGTACTTTCACCCCAAATTTCAATTTTTGCTAATCTTCTTTTTATCATTTCATTCAAGTGTTCATTGTGGAAATCGGTAAAAGAATCACTTGAGCGTTTGCAAAAATCATTAGACATGAAGTGAACTACAGTTCACAAGATTTTCAAGGAGAAAACGAAACTTAAAGCTTGATATATCGACAAGAAATGTTTTTTCAATGCATAAGTGATACTGAATCATTTCCAATGAAAACACTTTTGAATGAAGCAACTTAAACCTGGTTCATAATTCCTCTAGAAGAAGATTAGTTCTGGACTCATTTCGGCAGACTCCTTGCATTGCAGTGATATTCCTGATATTTCAGTTCATATCAGTATTTCAGTTCATATCAGTATTTTCAGTTCATATCAGTATCTCAAGCGAGACACACCTAGTGAACTAGCTCCAGCTTTGTAGTGTTAGTGTGCACACTGTACTGCAAATCTCAGCAAATCAAGTAAGTACATCTGTCCTTATAAACAACTCTCATAGATAACGTCGTATTATTCCTTTCTTCCGTCCTTAATTTTCTTTCTTCTTTTCTTACTTTCTTTTCCTTTTCGATAGGAAAGAATGACAGGAAAGAATGAGTTCAAAAAAAAAAGATCCCCCAAAAGCTGGGGGTTCACAACTCTCTATTCTTAGCTATTTAACTCCTGCACTGGGGATTTCAAGCGATGCTAACAACGGACTTGGAAACTCAAATGAAACCAGGACACCCACTGAACCAACTCCGATCACAAACTCGCGGCCGAACGATAACGGCAAAAAACGTCCCCTTGAAAAAGAGGGCGAAAAAATCAGCCCACTAGGGAAAACCATGCGTTTGGGTGACGATGTCACCCTTTTGAACCCTCCCGAACCTTGTACTAATTCTCGTAACGAAGTTTATGAGAAAGTAGTTGACATTATGAAAGGACTCGCACCAATTGCAACCGACAAAAATGCACCACCACCAAACCAAGAAACTTTTAACGCACTGTATAAAATTGTTATCTTTTTGAGCCACATAGTTTTTGAAGATTTTGGTACTGTTGACCGTGTTGTAAATGAAAACCGAGAAATTAGAGAATCTAATCAAACAATGAAATATGCTCAGCATTGTGAGAAACTTAAAAAAGAAATGGAAAAATCTCAACGTACTGTTAAAGTTCTTGATATGCCTGTCGAAGATTCTCTAATTGGCGGTAAAATTGAAAACACAAATACAGCCAGGGAAAATGTAAAAAAAAACCTTGAAAAATAAGTTGAATGTCTCACCAGAGCACCTCATCGGTAGTTCGATTATGATTAACACGAAATCGATACGCGACGGTAACACACCTGTGGGTATTATTTGCGCCGATAAGGATAAAAAAATCTCAATTGAGAGCTGCCTCTAAAAAGGTAGTTGTGGAATGGCCTTCTTATTTATACTCCCACATCAAGGAAATCAGGACTGGGTACAATAAATCTAACAAATTTAAAGGTTCCCAAATTTTAATCCATCCCTCTGCATCTAACAATAAACTTGTAATATCCTCCCGCCCAACTTCAAATGATAGATGAGAATATGTTGAAACCTTGAGCTTCCCCCTAAACCCATCAGACATTGATAAATTTGGCCAAAAAAGACAACCTTGTAAATCTAATTTCGATGATGTCTCGTTTAATTTCCTTGACGCCAAATTATACTTTAAAAACATCCCTAGCAATAATATTGACCCTCTAAGCAACTCCTTCCAACCAACTAAGAATGGTGTACCATCAGTATCACAACCCGGAACACCACGAGCTACCACATCGACCAGGAATAGATTCGATGGACTAGGAGAAACACAAGCATAATGTTGCAAACATCTTATGATTTAAGGACAAAAAGTATTAAATCGATTAATATTTCAATTATTTTCAATTTTATTACGTCTCGAATAAATTACGAAATTATTTTCAAAAATTACCAAAAAAAAATTAAATTTTTAAATGTACTGATCAACATGTTATTCTCCGACAAAATAATTATTGAGGATTACAAAATTCCTTACAAGAAAAAATTTTCATCCACTATCTTAAATATCTCAATGGTTGAGGATGAGCTTACTTTCCGGTTAATATAACATGAGAAAAAAGTTGATATTATAATTTTTAATTTGGGAAGCAAATTTTTATTCAAAATTATTAATGTATCATGTAACATAAAACTTCAAGTTACAAATTCATCTGTCCATCTCATGTTTCCTGACTCCCTCTGGATTATCAATGTTCAATATGCATTTGAGCCTGCGCCAATATCATCAGGTTCGGCCACACATCAGGGCCAAACACTTTCTTATTATTATCCGATGTGAACGCGGAAATATTATAGGAACACGTATGTACTGCACCCTTCAAGAACCAGTTCTGTCATGGTACAGATTAAAACAAGTTTAAAAATATACTTTAGTATCAGTGAAACTATATTCAATCACGGTCGACTTTTAATCAGACTTGATAGTATATTTATCTCAACATATTTTAAAGTTTCTAAAATTACTAAACATCTAAAATCTTTATCATTTCAAAAAGTTAACTAAACCTGCCGAAAGGGTTTTTTCAATATTTGGCCTACTTCCGGTCCGATTATTATTTTTAAACCATGCTCCGCCCCCACTAACTTGATGTTTCTGAACATTTTGAGCTTCTTGGGGGGTCTGTAGCTTAAAAACAACAAAGTTAGCTGCAAAATTTGATTTTAACTTCTTTTGAAATTATTTTTGACATTTTTCGTCATAATTCTGAGTTTGAAAAGTTATTTTTATGATTAAAGATGTCAAGTAGATTCTTAAATAAACCTTTTTGCATTATTTAAAAAAAAAGTTTACACATATTTAAATAAAAAATGTATTCAGTAATCAGTATATCAGTACACTAATTGATAATTAAAAGTGTATTCACTTTAAGATTAGAAAGCTGGCCTCAACTTTCTGCTCTTTACTTTAGTCAGGAAATATTTGTGACTGGCCTCCAAGGCATAGACGGAACTATAAGCCTCCGTAACTAACTTGACAACACGTTCTACTGATTGAGCATGGGATGGAAAATCAGGAAGATCAAGGGATTCTCCTGACATCAAGTGTTCAATGATGACTTGATTTTCAAATATTTGTGTGACAGCAGGTTTGGTTGCCATCTGTCAGCATCAATGTTTATCTGGAGATCATATAGATTTGTTATTCTTGGAATAGCTGTCTTTGCAGCCTTAACTTTCTTTACTACTTTCAACCCCACTTCCCTAGTTTCAATATCATCAGATTTCAGTAGACAATAGACAAAGTTTTCTGGAAGAAGGCAGTAAGAATTTTTTGACAAATCTTTTAAACACTTCATCTTGTTTTTTAATCTGCTGTATCATCTCAAACAGTATGGGAGGAAAAGTATGAAAACTAGAACTTTTCTTGATAAGAAACCAAGTTAATGTGTACACCTGGATAATCTATTGAGTCAGGTTCTTGAGAGTTTCAGAGGGTGTTTCTGTTTTTGAATAGAGACAGAGAATCCTTGTAGCCAGGGTAAGCCATCTGGCATGCATCACAGTACCTCTCATCTTTCCTGTAGTGATACCAACCCAGTACTTTGGAAACCTTGGCACTGTGATCTACAAATAAAAATAAAACTCAATGCCAAAAATCTAGAAATTCTTTTTTGGGTGTCCTTTGTACATTTTTAAGTTGTAAAGCACAGTGCAGAAACAACTAGAATACAATTTTTTGAAATTTTCGATTATCATAATTACAATGTAATTATAACATAGGAATTTAAAATACACATCTCAAAATGTCACAATTAATTTAGATAAATATCTCAGTAATACATATACATGTATTTCTTTCTGATACCCTTATTATAATAAATTTTAAAATTGGATAAAAACGAAGGACACA